ATGCCGGCCAACACGTAACCCTAGGTCAACGTTAGTCAACACGTTGTGATGAAAGTCAACGCCGATCGATGCGAAACCCTAAGGTCAATGCCGGTCAACGCATAGCCCTAAGTCAACACCGGTCAACATGTTGTGATGGAGATAATCAGTTCAAAGTCAACTCAATAACACGAGCCAAAACTAACTCACCAATTTCGATTCGAGATTTTGACGACGGCCAGACGATAAAATGCAGCGTCGGAACAACTTCAGTTATTCATCAAAATATTGAATAGACTAAAAATCAAAGAAGTCAAAGATCGAAGCTGACTACAAGTCCTTTTACACCGACTGAAGGGTGGACCGATCATATCCAAAGTATTTCAGGCTCCTCTATAAAAGAAACGAGACTGGAATACTATGGAGGGGGTATCTGTAGGCGTCAAAAATTACCTATAGGTTCCCGCACGTGGCTCGAGATAGAGAGAAGACGATGAACATCACTATCCAAGTTACAGAAGCTTATTTGACGTCGACAAGCGCATGAAGTGAGTCGACGAATCGTGTGAAGCGACGGAACTTTTGAATAACAAAACACGAACTGATTGGGAGCTACGCATCGCTTACAAAAGACGAAGCGCCCCTTGTGTCCCGTCTACTCCACATGTAATTCAACCATGAGAGCATGTAGATCTCCTCCTACACATTTTGAATAGTGTGATCCAGAGTTCGATTGACGAAAATACGGCGAAAACGGACGGAACGCAGGAAACAAAGCCCAAAGCCAAAGCTAAGACACCGCAAGTGTCTTGGCCGAGGATTTGTTCCAACTGATCCGATGTCATCCAAGAACATGATAAAGTGGTTATAACTGAAGATAAGAGTGAATCGGTTGTTCTTATCTAAAAATGGAGGTTCCGAAGCCTATAAATACAGCACTAGGGCCTTCATTTACACGGATCTAAAATTCTCGAGCGTTGGCGAAGCCCTTCTGAATTGAAGACTGAAGGAGCACGAATTTCAGAAGAGAGGAGGAGAAGATCAAATCGAGTTCTTCAGTATAAAGAAGAAGAGTTCGTCGGATCTACAGTTCCCGGTTCCTTCCTTGAGATTGCCCCATTGCGGTGATCTTAAAAAGAGTGGTTATCTCGCTGTTACCGAGATAATTGCTTCGGTTTCTTGATTCCTTCGTGAATTAACAAAACTCCGGATCGATCTGATCGTTTGGTAGTCCATGGATATCAACGTCCTCGTTACAGACCAAGATCCCACGAAAGCAGCGTAGGATAAGTGTTTGTTGAGTTTGTTCAAAAGAAAGTTGTATTTTTTGTTGAAAGTCTTATAAAAAGACTATTTCTTTGAGTTTGTTGCAAACATTTAAAGTTGTAATGAACTCATCAACGAAATCAATTTTTTCCCCAAACACCCCAAATATACTATGTATGAAAATACTAAAAGCTCAATGGTTGTGTGTGTAAACAAAGAGAAAATCAAATATAAACTCTAGCTTAATGAAGATGATAATCAACAAATAATAAATACAAAGCTAGAATTGAGTTTAGAAATTTTTCTCTAAAAAACAAGATGGAGAGATGGATTAAATTCAAGCTCAAATAATAAAGATGATCTCCTCCACTTGTGAAATTTTCTTCACAAAATAAATCTTGAAAAACACACTTAAACAAAACTTAAACACCTTTTTAAACTTGTTTAAAACTCTCTTGATTTCCCTCAGATGTTAGAGGGTATGGGTTACATATAGGATTATAGAACAAGCCCTAAAACCAAGAGAAAACCGAAAAAAATATAAAAAATAGAAACCTAAAAATATGGAAAAACTAGCCGTTAGAAATCCATCGGTCGACTGATGAACAGTATCAGTTGACTGATGAGCTGACTGTTATAGGCTGCTCACAGCTCATCGGTCGACTAAAGAGCTCATCAGTCGACTAATGACCTCATCAGTCGACTGATAGTTTATCAGTCATAAAAACAAAAAATTTTAGCAATTCCAGGCGAGTTCATCAGTCGACTGATAAAATCTATCAGTCGACTGATAACAAGTTATTAGCCAGAAACAAACATAAATCTGATTTTCAAACCTCTTTTAAAAATAGCGAATAAATTAAAAAATATATAAAATTTTAGGAAATGATTGTAAACATGATAATAAATATATTAAAAAAAGAAATTTTAGAATTGCACTTCCTAATTGTGAAAACTCATCATTTTGCAAAGTAGTCCAAAACATGAAAACACAACAACACATGTTTTTTGACGAAATATTTTAAACAAACTTTTAAAACTTTGTAAAGTGATTCTATAGACTTGATAAAAGATATAAACTATAGTTATTAAGTCTATATATATATATATATGAATGTATATTTATTTCATATCTATATAACTAAACTAAAATAACTTATCCATATGAAAACAAACATATATGTATATAAACCTAAATTTATTTATTTGTAAAAACTTTGTTTGTGGGTAATACCCAAAATGGATAAACTCATAAAATGTGTGTGTGTGTGTGTGTGTGTGTGTGTGTGTGGTATTGAGCTTTAAAGTATCTATACACAAGTAAAATCTAAAACTAAATTATCGAAGCTATCTTGATCTTCAATAGAGCTCGTCTCGGTAAACTTTGCGGATGAAACTTGATCTTGGAGATTGACTTAAAATGTATTGCTTCACTATATTATTCCTTCCATCCTCCAATGGATATGATCGTGAATGCTCAATTTCATCCAACCTCCGATAAATGTTTGTGTAGATTACCTAACAAAATAAATGCAAATACTCAATACACGTTGTTAGGAATTGTTTGTAATTATCAAAATAAGATTAGGGAGTAGGCTCATAGACCTAACAAGGCTAACACCTTCATATAGAGAACACTAAAGAGCCTTGAGTCCTCTGCCGCTGGCAAGTCGACTAGAAGATGAAGTCTAACTAACATTGAAAGGCTACAGCTATCGAGACGTGACTAGTGTAGGTGAAAAAATCACTGGCAAAAAGAACTGAGGTCTTTGGGGTTCCTCCAAAAGATTTGAAGTGAACTTTTTGCGAAGATAAGATATAGTTGGTGTCCACACCCTCACTCCCTCCTACTTATTTATTAGCCAAACTCCTAATCTATGAATAAATGACATGCGGCGAGTAGATCATTTGTAGATTGTGGCATGCATCCTAATGTATAAAGTCAAAAGTTACCATCATGTGTAATTGCAGTACTGTTATACACGATGGAGCTCTAGGCGAGCAGCATCAGCATACGCGTAAGTCGTAAAGACGTTTAGTGCGCAAACTGAGAGTCTTACCCCCACATAATAGTTGGCTAGTCATACCCCCACCATGTGACACATAAGAATAAAAAAAGACTAATTAGGGAAGCAAAGGTCTTTCATTCATTACATGAAAAGAGAGGGTACAACGCGGGCAAATAGAAAGCGATAAAAAAAGGAATAATACTAGGCTGCACTGCCCTTTAATGACTCAGATCCTTCTGATCCCTGTCGGCCTCTCTCTTCAACTGCGCAAGCTTCTCGCGTCAACTTGACCTCGTATGACCTTCTTTTGACCCCTTTCAGATGAAGTCAAGCACCAAAGCATTGTAAGGTTGTCTAAGCTCCCAAACTTATTAATTCCTTCAAAATTTTCTTGGCCTTGTGCAAATCGTGCATCTTAGTGTTGGTGGTATGACAAAGTTCCTCGTTATCCACCAACTCTTCCTCCAATTGGGCCACCATATAGACATGCAAGGTGCCCAAAAAATCGATAATATCATTTTAAGTGCCCGAACAGTTTGAGCATGAGGTGCCATGGAGCTTAGGGGGGCAATTATTAGTGATGATAGGTGAGAAAACGTAGGGAGCAATAAGTGCCCTGAACCCCTCTTTATAAGGAAGCTCAACACGCGCATGACCAGCAGGTGGCGATACATTTAATAGTAAAAAGACTTGACAAGATAGTAGCAGGCTGTGGCATCCGATACATCATACCCACCCATTACTCGGTCAGTGTAAGTACTAAAGTTTCTATCAAAACATTCGACTGAGTCACAAGATTTTGAGTATATCGAGACTTATAAACTATGGAATTAGGATCAGATGGTAAACACTCAAATTTCAACCATAAATAGATCAACTGTGGTGAGAGCCAAATGAAAATTGTTCTTTGCATAAATTAGAGATGAAAATTACAAGGATATGCTGGTACAATTAGAAAGACACAACTGCAGTCGAACTGCAAAGACAAAACCAAGTAGATCGAAGTGACTGCACCAATCACTCACCATTATCATCTTCCTCACTGAAGGAAGTGTCCACCATGCTACCATCTAGATGTAACAAGTGCTAATTGTAGTGTTGGTGGGAGTTGAAGATGTGGTCAAGGTTCTCCTTAACTTTCCAAGCATGCTCCGATCCTCCAGGGTGCCTTAAATAGACGTTACCAGTTCTAAAGACTTCACCCTTGTAGGGGTGGCAAACGGGTCGACCCGACCCGACCCGACCCATATAAAATTTGACCCGACCCGTATAAGTTTGACCCGACCCGACCCGTTTAATAAATGGGTCAATGTGATCCGACCCGATTATTAAACGGGTTACCCGACCCGACCCATATAACCCGAATAACTCATTTATCTAATACAAGACATCCTAACACATATAACTAATAAAAAAATTTATACAAGCACAAAAGAACACTTCTTGCAAGCTCTTTAGACAAAAACTATCATTACTTACAACATGGAGTTATTTCAAAGACATATTCAGTATTTAAATGTACTACAACGAATTGTAAATATCGGCAAACAAAAATACATCGATGCAACTCCTTAGACACAGAATAATCTAAACTAAAAACTAGCAACAAAGAATTTAACACAAGTAAATAAAGAGAATATACAAAAGTTTACAACAAAATAGTTAGGAAATTGATTGCCACTATCATAGTCCATCACTCTTTCCTACTACCCCCCTATTTTGCTAAAATTAATCTCAATATTTAAGAGAGAAAACCGCATCAATCATCACAGCAGCAGCACGTCCAACAAGTGTCCAGGCCTGCCACAGCAGCTCCAACAGGCAGCAGGCAACAGTCAGCAGCAGCAGGCAAACAGTCAGGCAGGCAGCAGCAACAGCTTCAAGCAGGCAGCGTGCAGCGCAGCGCAGCTACAACAGGCAGCAGCAGCAAACGTCAGCTAGCAGAGCTAGCAGCAGCACAGCTTCAACAACAGCAGGCCAGCAGCTTCAGCAGGGCAGGCAGTCCAGCAGCAGCAGCAACTACTTGGGATCACAGCTGTAATATCAAGAAATAAGAGGAGCACAGATGTGGAGGTCTTACAACAGCTTCTTGGTTGGACTAGTAACTTGAAGATGCCTAACAAAACGAAGCTGCACAAAGGAGAAGGAAAACACAAACTAAAATCACATTGTGATCATAAAAAATATTCAGAGATTTCATGAATGTAAGCTATGATCGGGGTTCAAGGCTTCGATAAGCAGTAAATGGATGTTTGACAACCTTCAGCTACCGCATCATAGTATGAGAGATTCAAACTTGTGTTGGCATAGATTCTCCAACAGCTAATTGCATGATATCCTCGGAAAGCTCATCTAATTTTGGTTGCATGTCATCTATCATTAATAAAAAATAAAAAAAATCAATAAACAAATTCATAACATGTATTCTGATGCAAAAAAAAACGTAAAAAATATAACATTAGTAATTGTCTACCTTTGATACCATATAACCAATCACGCGTGCAAACTAAAGCCTCTACATTGTTAGGCTTAAGAGTGCTACGGTATTGATTAAGGATTCTCCCACCTACACTGAAAGTACTCTCCGAAGCAACCGTAGAAATAGGAACCGCCATTATGTCCCTTGCCAATAGAGAGAGCTCGGGGTATCTATGCTCATTAGTCTTCCAAAATGAAAGAATGTCGAGTGGAGCACCACGGTCAAGTCTTGGTTCATCCAAATAAAGTTCTAATTGGGTCTTTTGAGAACTAATAATTTCTTGGCTTTCAAACGAGTCGAATTCCTAAATAAAAAAATATACGTAAAGTACATTTGAACAAATAAGTAGCTACTAAAGCAAATCAATTTAATATTAGACCCTGACATCTTTAGTATCTTAAAATATGTCCCTCTATTCACTAATTACTAATGGTGAGTAATTTTAAACAGAGCAAGGTTTATACTCCTTGCGTGAAGAAAGAGGGAAGAAGCTATTTTGTTGAGAAGTCAAAGACATGGACACAGTGACTGTAAATGTTTATGAAGAGATTTGATGCAAAGGATATACTTTTTGAAGATGGTGCGGTAATTTGAAAATGGTGATATCAAACTGTCTTCCTGAAACCAATTCTTTCATTGCTGCAGATATACTTCCTGGTTAAATTTTTTTTAAACTCTTTCACCCTTGGTTAACTTTTGACAGATATATATTATCCCTTAGTAAAATTAGTAAAACAAAAAAATAAACTGGCAGAGATTAGAAGAGGAGTCATCTCAGTGTCGATGTCTCTGTGCTGAGCCTTCTTTTGTGGGCTCTGGTCTATCTATGAGTCTTGACATCTAAAGGGTGTAAATTGAGTAACTTTGATATGTTCTTGTTATGCTCTGTACTACTTGCAGAAATAAAACTTGAAAATTTTAGCAGAGATTAGAAGAAGAGCAGAACGAATTGAACACCATGATCAACTTAAGGGAATGTTTAGAGATGAATCAACAAGATAGCAGAGATTAGAAGAAGAGCAGAACGAAATGACAGTCATCAAGCTCACGAGTTAATCTCATTTTGGTCTAAACTGGCAATCATGACCAACACTATGACTATCAATTATATGGCTGCAAACCCATCCTTTTCATTTTGCAGTTTCTACTATATATTTTCTCAATCATAACTCATAACATATATATACATGTGTGTGTGTGAAACTAACCCAAGTAGATATGCAAACCCATCCTTTTCATTTTGCAGTTTCTACTATATATTTTCTCAATCATAACTCATAACATATATATACATGTGTGTGTGTGTGAAACTAACCCAAGTAGATATGCATCTCATGTGCCATTTCATGATAGTTATTAATCTACAGCACTTTGCCATCTCATGATTTACTTTGTCGTTTTGTAGGCTGTTTTAAACTTAGTGAATAGAGGGACTTATTTTAAGATACTAAAGAGTTCGGAATAATGCACTGTTTGGTTGCTCTCCTCAATCTAAAGAGCATGATTTACGTTACAATGCGGAAACAATATAAATACATGCAAAAACAATAAAAACTAAGAGATAAACTAATTGCTTGAGAAAGAAATTACCCTCAAGATATCAATGCAATCTTGATCAAATGTGTCATCATACACACGAGAAGTTCCCTCCTTGCTTGATTTCTCCAAGTTTCTTCTTCTATCACCATCCATATTGCTCAAGTACTCATTAAAGAGAGAGAAAAGCTTGTCTTTCACCTTATTAAGCTCCGTAGAATTGTGTCCATATAGGCCATAATAGCAAAACTCTACAAATTGCATTTTGTATCGGGGATCCAAGATGCACGCAATAGCAAGTAGAACATTGTACTCACTCCAATATTTTTCAAATTTCTTGTACATTTTGGTTGCTATTAATTTAACATATTCATCATCATCTTTCATCCCACTCTTTAAAGTACGTTGCACAACAAATACTTGAAGAAAGTAGAGATTAGCCGTTGGATAATTTGTACCGGAGAAAAGACAAGTGACGTTATAGAAAGTGGCTAATAACCTCTTAACCTTCTCGGCCTTATCCCATTCTTCTTGAGATGGACAAAGTCTTGAGTAGTCTTCTCACAAATGGCAACACCGGAATGAGGAGGTGGCATATAAGAAAAGTTAAGAACCCGATTTTGTAATTTCCACTCATGATCAATGTAGTGTGCCGTGAGACAAATATATCCATCAGTGGCTATTGATGTCCACAAATCGGAAGTCAAGTTAATTCTACCCGGAATCGATTCCAAAGCTTCTTTTAGCCTATTTTTCTCTCTTCCATAGATTTTAAGAACATCGGCTTTAACCGTATTTCTTGATATGTGTTTTAGATCCTCACAAAGATATGAGAAGATTGCTCGAATACCTTCATACTCAACAAATTGAAATGGCAAATCGTGCATAATGATGGCCGAGACTAAGAGCTCCCTAAACTTATCCGGGTCAAAATTAAATCTTGAGGAACTCATTATAGAATCTTTTGAGTTAGATAGACCCTCAATATCCTCTCCGGTAGCTTTCTTACAAATTTTCATGTGTCTTAACATGTTCTTTGTCCCATGGTTACCTTCGGCGATGTATTTGACTCCACACTTCTTACATACTGAATATTGTTTCCCACCTGGCTCTTGAACAAGGTCAAACATTTTCCAAGCTTTGGACGTTAATTTTCTTTTTCGACTTCCAACAATTATCCCTTTTGATTTTTTCTGAACAGGACTAGACATGTCTTCTAATTCTTCATTAGATGAATCTGCTTCTACATTATCGGCTATAGAATCATGGGTAGAATTAGACTCCATTAACTGTGATGAAAATTAATAACAGTTGATCAGAAACATCATGTAGAGAATGGGTTATGTATTGGGTTTGATCTAGGGGCCAGTTGTCACACAACATCCCCAACCAATAACAGATAAAATACCAATTTAATAAATGTGAGATGCATTGATTCAATTGCTGTTTACAACAGCAGAGCAACAAAAACAACAACAAAACTAATACGAAAATGAAATGCAGGTGCATAATTAACCGACATGAAATTTATTGAGACGGTCCACTTGATTAGAAACATCATGTAGAGAACGACTCAGAATCCCAAGCATCATCGTAAGAGTTCCAACAGGATATGTGCTTTGATTTAGCATCACTAACAAGATTAAGGATATTTAACCATACTTAAGATTTTCAAAGAATAAGAAGCAGTTAAATTTAGAAACTAACACAAGCACAAACCTTGTAGACAAGTTAATTGCTATTTTTGAATTAATACTTTAAACTTTTTGGCAAGCGAATCCAGATGCATCCACAAATTACTTCTTAGCAAACACTGAGATCATAAAAACTGTAATTTCAACAAACCCCCAAATTTGAAAGAAGACAGAATGAAAAAACCCCCAAAATTGATAAAACTCAAGATCAAAAAGCCTAGCTAAGAGTGTACCTCAAAATCCAGGATTAGCTCGATTGAAGATCTGATTCTTCTGTTCAAGAGGAACTGAGCTCGATTGGAGAGAGGGAGGAGGAATCGATGGAGTGAGGAGAACTCGTCGAGGATCGGCTCGCTGCCGCTTGCCGCCGATCGCCGTTAGCCGCTCACCGCTCGAGTCTTGTTTATCAATGGATCTAGGGCTTGAGCTTCGTGATGGGATCTAGGGCTTTCTTTCTCTCTGCGTTCTTTTTTTTTTCCTTTCTCTAGAGCGGCACGCTTACGAGGGGAGTGAGGGAACGAAGGGTTATTACACGGGTCGGGACTTTTGCTATACGGGTCAATAGGTTAACCCGAATTGACCCATTTAATACATGGGTAAATTTGGGTTGACCCATTTATGACCCGACCCATATAATTTGACCCGTACCCATTATAAACGGGTCGGGTCGGGTCGGGTTAATGGGTCGGGTCATAAATTGCCACCCCTAGTCAAGAGTTGTCACACAACATCCCCAACCAATAACAGATAAAATACCAATTTAATAAATGTGAGATGCATTGATTCAATTGCTGTTTACAACAGCAGAGCAACAAAAACAACAACAAAACTAATACGAAAATGAAATGCAGGTGCATAATTAACCGACATGAAATTTATTGAGACGGTCCACTTGATTAGAAACATCATGTAGAGAACGACTCAGAATCCCAAGCATCATCGTAAGAGTTCCAACAGGATATGTGCTTTGATTTAGCATCACTAACAAGATTAAGGATATTTAACCATACTTAAGATTTTCAAAGAATAAGAAGCAGTTAAATTTAGAAACTAACACAAGCACAAACCTTGTAGACAAGTTAATTGCTATTTTTGAATTAATACTTTAAACTTTTTGGCAAGCGAATCCAGATGCATCCACAAATTACTTCTTAGCAAACACTGAGATCATAAAAACTGTAATTTCAACAAACCCCCAAATTTGAAAGAAGACAGAATGAAAAAACCCCCAAAATTGATAAAACTCAAGATCAAAAAGCCTAGCTAAGAGTGTACCTCAAAATCCAGGATTAGCTCGATTGAAGATCTGATTCTTCTGTTCAAGAGGAACTGAGTTCGATTGGAG